GGATAGTTTTGACAAGGCAAGCTTATTTGTAAAGTATAATTCATTCGTAAGGCAACTCAAAATGCATTCAAATCCTAAAGAATCACAGTACAGTAGAAAGAAAGATACAAATACAAAATTCTTCAGTTGTAGGACAGAGAAGAAGCCTGTCTTATATATTCAGGAAGATTGTTCCAGATTTTAGCAGTATGAATCTGAAATACAGCCTCCCCATGTTTAGTTTTGACCCTGGGACCAGCAGGAAGCCAGTCCCTGTGCTCCTCAGCGTCCCAGCAGGAGGCCAGTCCCTGTGCTCCTCAGCGTCCGAGCAGGAGACCAGTCCCTGTGCTCCTCAGCGTCCGAGCAGGAGGCCAGTCCCTGTGCTCCTCAGAGTCCCAGCAGGAGGCCAGTCCCTGTGCTCCTCAAAGTCCCAGCAGGAGTCCAGTCCCTGTGCTCCTCAGCGTCCCAGCAGGAGACCAGTCCCTGTGCTCCTCAGAGTCCCAGCAGGAGGCCAGTCCCTGTGCTCCTCAAAGTCCCAGCAGGAGGCCAGTCCCTGTGCTCCTCAAAGTCCCAGCAGGAGTCCAGTCCCTGTGCTCCTCAGCGTCCCAGCAGGAGACCAGTCCCTGTGCTCCTCAGCGTCCGAGCAGGAGGCCAGTCCCTGTGCTCCTCAGCGTCCCAGCAGGAGGCCAGTCCCTGTGCTCCTCAGCGTCCCAGCAGGAGGCCAGTCCCTGTGCTCCTCAGCGTCCCAGCAGGAGGCCAGTCCCTGTGCTCCTCAGCGTCCCAGCAGGAGGCCAGTCCCTGTGCTCCACAAAGTCCCAGTTGGTTCATGTGGGACTGGATCATGGCTTTCTTCAGTAACATCTGTGTGCTTTATGATATAACTCCAATATAATTCATCAATTAAACATTTCTTGGCCCAATGTTGTGAATAGGAACTACTCAAACAACCTCACGGCAAAAATAAGGTTTAATTAATAATAAATATGGATTTTTGGATTTAGAACTCACTGTTTAACGATTATAATGAAGTGCCTGTAGTTAGAGGCGGGCGCTGTCAGCTGTGACCGTCACTCATTTGTCCCTTTGATATTGTGTTGTGATGAGGAGTTAGTGCCTGTCATGTGCCCGTGCCCCTCTCCTCTGTCTCCCACCTACAGTCAGGGTCTGAGGTCAAAGACGTGAGGTCATCTGGACACGCCGTCACTCTGTCTGCCCCCACACCACCAGCAGTGGTACAGGCGCAAATAACCGGCCATAGTTTACTGGATTTCTGGTAGGGCTGAGCCGCGAAAAGCTTCTATGTCTTCGTTTTTCCAGCATTGCCCATTCTATTTAATAGGAGAAAAATACTTCCTGTCCTACGGACCCATGCCCCGCCCCTTTTTGGTCACTTGATTTTAGGCCATATCGCCCACCCCTAATTTCTGTTACTTTTTAACACTTCAGTCCCCATTTTCTGCGTGTGATGGGGTTTAGGGCCACACTTTTGGGACATTGTTCTTTCCATTTGCAGTGGAACATTTTGATGATTTAGGTCATGAAGTACATGAACAGTCACTATTTTTTTTTTATGTTTAAATTTCTTCCAAACTTAGCTCAGGTAAAGATCATTTTATCATTTTTTTATTCATGTCTGTCTCAGGTTAAATGCTGCATTGTTTGATTTTAATAATAATAATAATAGCAATAATAATAATAATATCTTGAAGGGCTGCATGATATATTGACAAAATTATTGTGATATTGGTGAATGCGATATCCACATGGAAGAAAAAAAAAATTATGTCCATTATTAAAGACAACAAAACAGACACATTCAACAAGAACAACAAACCAACAATCAAAAAACATATAAATACTGTATATGCATATGAAGGTCATTAATGTTGTGCATATTTTTTGTTATTTGTCTCTTGCGTTTCACTGCTGATTGCAATTTTAGGGGAAAGACCAAAATATCGCAATAATATCGAAATACTGAACTAAATATCGCTCTAATTTCCAATATCGTGCAGCCCTAATATCTTAGCATTTATTTTTTCCCATGAGCTGCTGGAGAGCGGGGGTGATGTGTTCTCTGGACCGTCTGTGGGTGTGGCTTTAGTTGCCAATAAAACAAACACATCTTTTTGAAGGTTACGAAGCGATGTATACATTTTTACTTGGTAGTTATTGTCAATTGGTTGTCTGTGGGCGACATAACTCAAACGGTTTTTGGTAATATATTCTTGCAATATCAGAACAGTCTGTAAAAGACTTTTATAATATGTATTGGGGGAAACAAAATCAAAATGGTTTTGAAACTTGATTATTGAGCGGAAAGATCAAAACATATTTTTAAGGGCAAACTTTAATGAAAATCTATTTAAAATCGAACTCGTCCAAGCAGGAATTAAATCGAGATTTTACTTTTTTGCCATATCGCCGAGCCCTACTGCGAATATAGAATTGTTTCTACATTTGACCAAAACAAAGCTGAAGTAATGTCCCTGGAGAACACTTTCATATAGAGGACTTGTTACACATTGGGTTGTTGGATTAAAAAAAAAAGTTAACACAATTTCACTCTGTCTTCATAAAGTGTCATAAACCTCTTCTCAGCAGGTTTGAGTCCATGTGAGGTCCAAGACATTATCAGAATGTTAATAATCAGTTAGCTGCAATTCATTGATGAACTTGTTACAGCCCTAATTCCTCTCATCAGATGAATAACCGCCGCTAATGAATCAAATTAGTGCCGTTAAGGAGTCAGTTAGAGCCAGCACCTGCCTCTGCGGAGCATCTGTGAGAGAAAGGCTCCGTTATAGAGGAGTGTGCCCAGAGATGTGGCGCTGCTGCAGCCAGGGGAAGTATCTTTTATGGTGGATCCGCTCTAAGCAGCCCCGTGGCCCCAGATCTGGGAGCTCAGTGAAAGAGACTCTATTTGGGCCATTACAGAGAGGCCGTTGAACACACCGGGGGCAGGACAGACCGACTTCTGTGCCCAGGGCTGAGGCCAAGGCTCTGAGAGGCGCCTATTGAAGTGAAGAAGGCAACGGAAGTGGAGCCGTGCCGAGCATGTGTGCATCTGCCTCTCATAATATTGGCTTTCGCTCTTCTCTGACCCACATTCATTTTTTGATGTACAGCAGACGACTGGTGATTGTAGAAAGTTATTTGTAGTCTGTCTGCTGACTCGATCTGATTGAGTGAAAGGGGAGCAGACAGGTCAGACTGCGGATGGATGGCTCTGTCTCAGAGCAGTCGAGCAGAAGCTGCAGTAACTGCATTTTAGATCGTGTGTTTACAGCGACCGAACCTTTCAGAGAGGTGATTCTGAGTCTGTCCCTCTATCAATACACAAACAGTACAGTCTGATACTCATTTGTCTTCAGGCTTCCAAGTCTGGCTTAATCCTTTAATCTTCACTCCTTGAAGAAAGCAATGTATTTTTTGTAACCCCTAGTTTTTTGTTATTATAGGCTTTTACCAAATTATTGAGATGCAGTTTGATGGTAAAACCAAGAGAGATCCCCCGCAGAGATATCAGTTCCAAGCTTCAAGCAGCATTAGTATAGTGACTCAAAAAGTGATCTAACAAATGGTTAAGGAAACTTTTAAAGGGCGAATTTTAATTTCATAATTAGTTGAGCTCTTCTATGTCCACATTGTATTTATTATGAGAGGGTTTACGTTCACAGCTTTGATTTTCCCAAAGACCAGGTTGCTTTGCTTTCTGAGTTGGCTCAGAGCCCAACAGGCCACCACTTTTAATAGTTTGTGGTAACAGAAACCTTCACTAGATCCAGTTATTATATTAAGTCATCACCAAACTCCCAAACTGTTATTAAGCTTAGACTAAAGCCTATACAGAGTTCACCCAGGACTACAATGAGAAAACTAAACAATTTATTTTTGTGCAGTCTCCTTGGAGAATTGCTTGTTGGTTTTCTGAGGTTTGGGGGGCGTGTCTAAAGTCAAAGAGGCCTTCAATTCACTGTCACTCAAAGACGAGTCCTACTGCAGTTCACTCACAGGTCTTGGGTCCAGAATAATCCTGTGCTTCCCAATGTGAAGTTGTACTCCCTGGCTCCAGTCTCAGGACCCCCACTGCTGCTGCCCCCTCCCGTCCCCTCCCCACCGCTGACCCCACATATTTTATCGGACATTCAGTGGTAGTCACGGCTCATTAGCGCCTTTTAGAAACGAGAGCAACAGCAGAGCGATATAAAGGAGACAGAGGAGACAGACGGGTCGCAGGATCACAGTGTGGGACGCTCGGAGCACTGTAAATCCACTGCACACAGAGAAGGGGATGCATTCGTCTCTGTTATTGTTACATTATGGAGAGAGTGAGGAAGTACACACCGTAGCCTGTGAAAAGCCAAGTTTGTATTTTTACTGCGTTTAGAGTCATCATGGAAAAAAGCTAAATTCACAGCGGGACATACAGCACATTTAAATCAGATTAATAAGCAAAGCAACAGCCCGACTAATGTTAATCAAAATGGATTATATTTCATGTCTAATCTTCAAAAGAAGGCATGTAATATAATGTACACAGCTTTTTCCAGCCTGTGGTTTGGGGTAAGGTATGAAGACATGTTTGTTTCCCTTGTTAGATAAAACACATAAACATTGATTGCGCTACCACATTTAGACCACCTCATCCATTCTTACAGCTCCCACAGCCTACACATACATGGTGCATGCTTTTGGGGGATGTCAGAAAGTTTCCAACTCTACACAGAAAGTGGTTCATCACCAGAGCTTTTCATGTCTGTTTACATCAATGTGGAATGTATAGATTTTCATTTTTGAGACATCGACTGAAATCACAATGAGTTACGCAGCCAAGGACTTTATCGATGGGTTTTTTCTGAATAAGCCTAAAAATACCAGTCATAACAGTATGGCAACTTACGATCTCAAAGTTGATATGCTATATTTTGAATGAAAAAAGGACTGCAAATGTTGCTTGTAACGGGAAGCAGAAAGGCATGATCTTTGACCTGTTCTTGTCTCTATTCTTATTTATAGTTTTACTGTGACCGTACTTCCATGGGAACTTCCTCTAACCCAACGGCTATGAGCTTCACTCTGAGCTTCACTCTGAGCTTCACTCTGAGCTTCACTCTGAGCTTCACTCTGAGCTTCACTCTGAGCTTCACTCTGAGCTTCACTCTGAGCTTCACTCTGAGCTTCACTCTGAGCTTCACTCTGAGCTTCACTCTGAGCTTCACTCTGAGCTTCACTCTGAGCTTCACTCTGAGCTGCAGCAGATCTGACTCACTGGTTCGGGCTAACAGGAAGTTGACGCTTCCTCTTTAGAATTAATTTATAATTATCAGTTTGTCTTTATCGTTCTAGCGCAGTGCCTGTAGGATATATACTTATAGTCCAAATTTTTTAGTGAAAGGGCCTTTTTAATCCAGCCCTCTCTAGGCAAGTGTCCAAACAGTCCTGTTTGGAGTTTGCATGTTCTCCTGTGTCTGTGAGGATTCCTACACTGTATCATTCAATCAAAGTTTATTTACTGTAAACCCTGAGGAGTAAAGTATACTTGCAACAACCTTGGAGATACACTCCCGTTCAAAAGTTTGGGGTCACCCAAGTGTTTTCCATGAAAAGTCACACTTATTCACCACCATACGTTGTGAAATGAATAGAAAATAGAGTCAAGACATTGACAAGGTTAGAAATAATGATTTGTATTTGAAATAAGATTTTCAAAATAAGACATCCAAATTTGCTTTCGTCAAAGAATCCTCCATTTGCAGCAATTACAACATTGCACCAAAAACCAGACATTTGCAGCTAGAACAGCCATTTACCACATAAGCATAGCAATGTATAGAGTGTATTTCTTTACAGTTAAGACTAGTTTAAAGTTATCTACAGCTTTTCCTTCAAAAATAAGGACATTTCAATGTGACCCCAAACTTTTTAACTTTTGACCTCAGTTGATTACAGTAATTTTCAACTCATACATATATCAGAAAGGCCCTGCTCCAAATGGGATTCAAACTCAGAACCTTCTTACTGAGAAGCAAAGGTGCTACCCACTCGGCCACCGTGCCGCCCTGCTGTGAATATACCTGCCATACTAACACTCAAAATATTGAAAGTGCGGCTTACTTGAACAGAGACAGCTCAATCAAAGAAGGCCCAGAGTGATATCGCCGAGCTTTAACTAAACTAACAATAAACAAGTCATATTTACTTACTGGGAAAAATAAATTAAAAACAACTTTGATATATCTGAATTAAGATTGAAGTTAGGTGCACTGCTAAAAACATGTACAGATTATTACTTACACTATACGCATGTCTCCCATTACACACAGTTTGCTAAGATTAAATGTAAACAGTTCATTTTGTCTTATGTTTAAGGCTTAGAACGTTCTTTTAATAAGACAAAAAAGTTAAAAAAAGCTAGTACTGCTTAATTATCTGACATGTTCTGGCTGTAGACTTCCGCCTTCATCAGAGGTTATTAAGCAGCACTATCCTTCTTTACTGTTTTTGTCTTAAATTATTAAAACTACCTACTAAGCGTTTGCTAAGATGTTGCTTCAGTGCTTCCTATTTTTTTATGTTTGAAGTTAATTATAAAAGTCCATATTGATGCACAGTTGACAGCACTAGAGTTGGCTGGATGACACTGACCTTGTTTTTGATCTCAATAAGTTCAAGGCAGAGGGCTACGGTCGTCCTGTGAGCGGGATATTGGACATGCCTTCTATATTCTTAGCTTATGTAGCATTTTTTTTACACGTTTCAGCAGAGGTGTCAAATATGTCCTCAAAGGGCCAGTGTGGCAGCAGGATTTCATTCCAACCAAGCAGGAACACACTAGAATTTTCATTTCCTCAAGGGTGGATTTCCAGAGTTTTAAGAAATCAATGCAGGCCTGGAACCAGATAGACACCCATGCGTTACAGAATGTTGCAAATCAAAAAAAAGGAATACTCACTGTTGTGTCCGAAACCTCAGGCCGTCTCATCAGTCAAAGACAAACACACAGGCATTATGTGCATTATCGATAAAGGCTGGGTCCTGGGCGATATGGCAGAATTTACATCTCCTTTTGTTATCTTTTTATTTGTAATTTTTTCAAATACGTCACTGAAGGCCACCAATCTTAATGAAATAAGTTACATTTAAGTTGAGATTTTGCACTGACACTGGCTCAGTTGGTAGAGCATTGCTCTGACTGCCACTCCTCCGACCCAGAAATGGGTTAAGGGGAAGAAAATGTATGGATTTTTGTTTTGTTTTTTTGAATGCACTGGAAACGGCAGGAAGTCCTAAGTGTCTCTAAAACAGTTGATGTTTCTGTTTGTTGTTTTTTTTCTTGCTTTTTTCTGTCTGAGATGTGGCTGGAGTTCAGTGTTCATGGTTTTACACTGGTCCACACCAGAGCAGAGAGGATTCATGGTTTTACACTGGTCCAGACCAGAGCAGAGAGGATTCATGGTTTTACACTGGTCCAGACCAGAGCAGAGAGGATTCATGGTTTTACACTGGTCCAGACCAGAGCAGAGAGGATTCATGGTTTTACACTGGTCCAGACCGGAGCAGAGAGGATTCATGGTTTTACACTGGTCCAGACCAGAGCAGAGAGGATTCATGGTTTTACACTGGTCCAGACCAGAGCAGAGAGGATTCATGGTTTTACACTGGTCCAGACCAGAGCAGAGAGGATTCATGGTCCGAACCAAGTGGATCAGGTGAAAATCCACTGGAGGAATGCTAACTTTTAAAAAAAGGCTCATAAAGCATTTATCTTTTGACTTTGGACCAGAGCAGAGAAAATGTTCTGAACCAAGCGGCTCCACCTCTGCTGCTGTGACCTGAAGTAATGTTCCTTTTTTATTTTTATTGTTAGCTTTTTTTCATAATTATCTATTCATTCATTTTGTTTGTTTGGATGGATGTGTTTCTGCTGCTACTGGACACCTGCATTTCTCCAACTGTAAAGTAATGATCATAAAGTATTACCATTTCAATAAAGTCTCTAAAAGCTCTGTTAATCCTTTTTTAAATGTACTGCTCTGTTGTTAACTTCCTTTCGAGCGTCTAAACCGCAGAGCCCCGAGAAGCACAGGTGGAACCAGGGAAAGAACTTGCACGTTATCTTTGATTTAAATGATAAGTTAAAAAACTCTTCAAAGCATGCTGGGTAATAAACCATATCATTGATGGAGATATATCACGTCCATTCATTAAAATACAACAATCTGCTTGAAACCAACGCAAACTCAATCTGAATCTTGTCTCTTTTCTGCCAAACTCAAAAGGAGAATTGTTGTCCCATAATTTGGTCCTGATGTTTTCCTCTTTGGGGTGATGTAAGTCTTAAAGTCATATAATAAACTCTTTAACAGTCGGCCAGCTTTGGATGAGGTCTCTGAACTGCATATATGGAAACTACTGCAGTATTTATATTCACTTTAGGACTTTAGTTTTGGTCGTGGGAATATTTTGACATTTATAAATGGGTTATGAACTATGGCAGCTGAAGTGAAAGTTTGGACTGTTTAAAGAGAGGCCGCAGCACTGACACCAAATGGGTTTAGAACACCTTGGACTAATCATGGGTACCAGGTGATACCAGGTGGTACCAGGATGAGGAAACACTAGGACCATTGTATGTTTAGGGTATTTTGGTTAGGTTTTGCTGAGAAAGAATTACAAATATCCAATTTGACTAAATATATGGTTTAAAGCTTGTGTATACAAACCAAGATTGAGCGCAAACACACACACATTAATACACACACACACATATACTGTATACACACATATATAGTAAATACACACACATATACACACATACACATATACATACTCAAACATACACATACATATGCATAGACATACACATATATACACACACACACACTTCTGAAATATATATATTCTTTTCTAGTTGAATCACAGAAGGGAGTTTTAAGCATAATTCTCATTTTCCAAGTTTCATCTCTGCACTATGTAAAAAAAAAAAAAAAACCCTTTGCTCTTAATACTTGTCATTGCCTTTCTCATCTCCCACTCTTCCTCCTCTCTCTCCACATTCCTCCTCATTCCGACCCTAATCCTGGAGGGTGTTGGTTATTATCGCTCGCTCCTTCGGCTCATGAATAAGTAAGTGGGGCGAGGCTGAGACTTACTGAGCAGACACATCCCGACACACACCGCTGTAGCCCCTGAATGCCCCCCGGCTGCTCTCGCCGGGGGTTCCCACTGTCTTCTTTGTTCTTGAACGCACCCCTGCTGTGTCGACGCAGGTGAGATGCCATGTGTAATGTCAACTGGAGAGTGGAATTTTAGCGTTGTAGAGCAAGTGTTTTCCCCCTTTTCTTTTTCAGTTTCTCTAGCCTTGCACTATTGTTTAAATTATGTAGAAAATGATGTCTGCTGCACTTGGTTTTCTTATTTTATTTGTTAGATATGGTTTATTTGTATGATTTTATGCTGGCAAGACAGAATTTCACAAAGTACGCAAGATTTTTGGAGGGATAAATTATACGTTTTTTGTCTTTTTTAAAATCTTACTGAATGGAGACGAATCTGAATCAGAAGTCCGTGTGCTTCTTTGTGTGCTTCTGTTTTGCCTTTCCTTGTTTACATAACGCACATGAGGTTGTGTACATGTGTTTATTTTGCTGTGTACATGAATAAATATGCTTGTTTCTTTGTTCGCTTGTTGAAATCAACCCAAATCACCCTTAAAGTGAGAGCAGTAGATTTAAATTCTTTATGACTTAGCTACACCTTCTCCTCCGACTCCCACTGATGTCTACTGTTGTTGTGTTCTTGGGCAAGACACTTAACCCAACTTTGCCTGAAGCCCCCGCTGAAAGATCAAGGCTGTGGGTGGCACGGTGGCTGAGTGGATGGCACTCTTGTTTCTCGGCAAGAAGATCATGGGTCGGAACAGGGCCTTTCTGAGTGGAGTTTGCATGTTCTCCCTGTGTCAGCAAGAAGATCCAGGGTCGGAACAGGGCCTTTCTGAGTGGAGTTTGCATGTTCTCCCTGTGTCAGCAAGAAGATCCAGGGTCGGAACATGGCCTTTCTGAGTCGAGTTTGCATGTTCTCCCTGTGTCAGCAAGAAGATCCAGGGTCGGAACAGGGCCTTTCTGAGTCGAGTTTGCATGTTCTCCCTGTGTCAGCAAGAAGATCCAGGGTCGGAACAGGGCCTTTCTGAGTGGAGTTTGCATGTTCTCCCTGTGTCAGCAAGAAGATCATGGGTCGGAACAGGGCCTTTCTGAGTGGAGTTTGCATGTTCTCCCTGTGTCAGCAAGAAGATCATGGGTCGGAACAGGGCCTTTCTGAGTGGAGTTTGCATGTTCTTCCTGTGTCAGCAAGAAGATCCAGGGTCGGAACAGGGCCTTTCTGACTGGAGTTTGCATGTTCTTCCTGTGTCAGCAAGAATATCCTGGGTCGGAACAGGGCCTTTCTGAGTCGAGTTTGCATGTTCTTCCTGTGTCAGCAAGAAGATCATGGGTCGGAACAGGGCCTTTCTGAGTGGAGTTTGCATGTTCTCCCTGTGTCAGCAAGAAGATCCAGGGTCGGAACATGGCCTTTCTGAGTCGAGTTTGCATGTTCTCCCTGTGTCAGCAAGAAGATCCAGGGTCGGAACAGGGCCTTTCTGAGTCGAGTTTGCATGTTCTCCCTGTGTCAGCAAGAAGATCCAGGGTCGGAACAGGGCCTTTCTGAGTGGAGTTTGCATGTTCTCCCTGTGTCAGCAAGAAGATCATGGGTCGGAACAGGGCCTTTCTGAGTGGAGTTTGCATGTTCTCCCTGTGTCAGCAAGAAGATCATGGGTCGGAACAGGGCCTTTCTGAGTGGAGTTTGCATGTTCTTCCTGTGTCAGCAAGAAGATCCAGGGTCGGAACAGGGCCTTTCTGACTGGAGTTTGCATGTTCTTCCTGTGTCAGCAAGAAGATCCTGGGTCGGAACAGGGCCTTTCTGAGTCGAGTTTGCATGTTCTTCCTGTGTCAGCAAGAAGATCATGGGTCGGAACAGGGCCTTTCTGACTGGAGTTTGCATGTTCTTCCTGTGTCAGCAAGAAGATCATGGGTCGGAACAGGGCCTTTCTGACTGGAGTTTGCATGTTCTTCCTGTGTCAGCAAGAAGATCATGGGTCGGAACAGGGCCTTTCTGACTGGAGTTTGCATGTTCTTCCTGTGTCAGCAAGAAGATCATGGGTCGGAACAGGGTCTTTCTGAGTGGAGTTTGCATGTTCTTCCTGTGTCAGCAAGAAGATCTAGGGTCGGAACAGGGTCTTTCTGAGTGGAGTTTGCATGTTCTTCCTGTGTCAGCAAGAAGATCCAGGGTCGGAACAGGGCCTTTCTGAGTGGAGTTTGCATGTTCTCCCTGTGTCAGCAAGAAGATCATGGGTCTCATCTCCGGATGAGAAACCAAAAGCCCTCTGATATACGGTTGAATCAAACGGCAAGATTTTTCATTTTTGTAGGTTTTTTTTGGCATGTAATCAACATAACTTTTTCTTCTCTTCTTAACACTGATCAATTTAAATATATATGCATCATTCGACAAACATCAGATCATAGCTATTTGCACAGAACATGAGCCGAGGATGTCGTTTCCTGTTATTATGCAGATTCTTAATGCATGGGTAATTTGTATAATCCACGTGGCTTCATGGAGCATAACATGTACCCGGTCTAACCCGCCTCCGTAAGGTCATGCAGAGGTCCCGGACAGCTCGTGAATATTTAAAATGGTTTTTCTGTCTAATGGCGGGGCTGTCAGGGTGCACTCTGCTGTGAGGCGTTGACTGATGGGCCAGGGAGTGGGAAATGGGAGTTGTTTTTGTTATGAATGCTTCAGTGGTAATAGATACAGTGGAGGCTGGTGGGTTGAACGCAGTGGGTTTGATGGTGTAGAGTGAAAATGGCAGTTGTTGGAGCAGATAATGAAATCTCTTGTCATTGTTATGTACTCTTTTTGTGTAATTGTCATGTACTCGTTTTTGTGTGTTTTTGCAGGAAAGAAAATGGAAAATGAATCCAAGTGATGAGGACGTCTTCAAATGAACCTGGAACATAGATGGTGAGAATTGCTTTTTGAAAATAAAACTATTATTGGAAGAAGATGAGGACAGTTTTGCAAGAATTGTGAACTTTGAACACCTGTATTGTAAAAAGACAATACAGGTGAAACTTGGAAGAGCGTTCAAAATTCCATTCACTTCAGTAATTGGGCGGTTTCACACTTAAGGGTAAAAAAGTGTGACAGAGGCCATAAAAAGATTGAATTGGAATATATAATAAGGTTTTCATTTATCCAAATCCCTCTTCTGTCCATTTGTAGATATGAAAGATAAATGTTTTATTCATGAGTCACATGTTCTCAGTGTTTCTCTGTGTCTCGCACCTGATTACTTTCATACAGTAAAACAATTCAATGGGAAACCAGACCATCATTTTCTTTCCTAAAGTTTAATTTTTACAAAAATATTGACCAAAAACCATCCCATTTGTTAGGGCCATTTGAATTTTTATTTATTATTGTTCAAAAATGAATCCTTTTTAAAGTAAGTGATTTCCTGATGTTGTGTTAATGTTATTCTGTGGAGTTCAATCTTTGTCTCTGAGGACCTTAATTTCTTTGTCACTGAGTCACAGACGAATTAGCCAATCAGAGGCTCATCTCGGTTTTAAGATTTTGCCAAAAATGGTGATCTTTTGGTTTTATCCACACTATCTCTTTGAAATGTCTGTGTTTGACATTTTAGTTCCAATCTATGAAAGTAAATTTAGTTTTTGAGTTATAACCTCTTAAGACCAGATATTTTAATTGACATTTTACAGTGAACACGCCCATGTCCTGATGTCAGGGTGGGGCTCACATAAGTTGCTTTTGGCCAAACCTGTAATATCTGTCATTATTCAAATGAACAGTCAAATACTGCATAAGACAGACTCGTCGTACGCAGTGAGATATATCAATCCTTTATTTGTTATAATGTTTAATTGACTCACAGCTTGTAAAAAACCAAATCAGAAAATGTTGGGACTGTAAGGCATAGTCATCAAAACGAGAACAAAGATATATTTCGCTTTGTGTGTAATGGTTTCACATTTTAAGTTGAATTATAGATATTTATATTCCAAATAATAATATATTAGTAATCGTTCAAAGAAACCATATTCCAGTTTACTCGAAAGTGGAACCTGAAACTGTTGTCATTTGATACACAGACTATTTGATGCACACTAGATCTGTAATTAATATTTCTATAATAAATTCTTTCCTTTTCCGTCTTAGATTTTCTGCGATGCCACATGGAAAGGATGAGAGCTGCACCCTGCTCCTGCTCCTCTCCATCCTCCTCCCCTCCGCTGTGGGTCACCTTTTCCCCCGATTCTCCCGCAACGATACGCTCTTCCAACACCTGACCCTGCACCCTGACCCCTCAGTGGGCACGGTGTATGTGGGGGCCCGAGACCACCTCTTCCAGCTGGACGGGCTCGGAGGGCTGCGGCTGGAGGAGGAGGAGACCACCGGCCCCGTCAGCGATGGCAAAGACTGCTTCCCCCCCATCACCGAGGCCAGCTGCCCGCACGCTCGCACAACCAGCAACTACAACAAACTCCTCCTGCTGGACCCGTACGCTCGCCAGCTCATCACGTGTGGGAGCGTCCACCAAGGCACGTGCCAAAAGCGAAGTCTGGCATCCATCAAAAAAACCCTCTTCTTCACCGAAAGGCCAGTGGACACTCAACACGTGGCGGCCAACGACCAGCACGTGTCCACGGTGGGGCTTGTGGTGCGGCCTCACGCGGGGGACAGGACTGTGATGTACGTGGGGAGGGGGTACACGGCCAACCACCCGCCCATATCCACACGCCACCTGTCCTCGGAGCCCGTGTTCTCCTACGAAGAGACAGCCAAGCTGGCGGTGGCGGGGCGGCTGGCGGAGTATGACCACCATTTTGTGTCCGTGTTTACCTGGCGCACCTACGTCTACTTCCTGTTTTACCGGCGGGATATACAGGCAGGGTCCAGGGAGTACCGGACATTCGCCGCCAGGGTCTGTCTGGACGATACTTCATACTACTCCTATGTGGAAGTCCCGCTGGTTTGCAAGTCGCCGTCTTCGTCCGTGACAGAAAAGTACTACAACCGTCTCCAAGCTGCGCAGGTAAGACTGAAGGTTAAACGGATTGATTACCAGGAATTACATCATCAGAAAACTAAGTGACATGGAGTGCACTTTAACTGGATCTATAAAAGGTTTATAGGAGGATTTTCTACTTCTGCGGGGATTGTCAACACTATTGGTCCTCCCACTTGTCAATCATTCTGGTGATACATGCTCGTCCAATAAGACCAGAGAGTTTTGTTCTATATACCTTTGACTCATGGCAGATCATTGTTGTGTCTACTTTACCAGTGTGCACTTGCTCTGTCATTTAAAATCTCCACAAATTAAACATTTTTGATCAAAGTGAACCAGAATTTGTCCAGTTAAAGTAACACAGACCAGCAAGTGTGAACGCACCCGTTACTACATGTGTCCCTGGAGAGGCATATACTTTTTCTAATAATAGTTCACATTATAGTATGCAGTGCAATGAAACCTATTTTTTTTATTTGATGACGACAGACAGCGACAGTGGCTCAGTTTTTAGAGCATTGGCCTTTGAGCCTGAAAATTGTGGGTTTTAGGCCCCCACGAGACCTTCTCCACAGACTCCCACTGATATCTGCTGTCGGTGTGTCCTTGGGAAAGACTCTTAACCTCCCCCAGACCCAGAAATGGATTAAGGGGAAGAAAATGGATGGATGGATTGATGGATGACACAATTTTTCCTTTTTTGTCCCAAATTCTATTCGGCTCGTGTCCTGGTGGCACACTTTTCAATTTAAGTTGGTATAATTTAATTTGAGGCAGAAGATTTAATGAGTCTTCCATGTCATACCATACATCCTATTTTTGATAATTAACTTCTCAATGTTGTCCGTCCGTCCGTCCGTTTTCTTCCGCTACATCCGTTGCCGGGTCGCGGGGGCAGCAGTCTAAGCAGAGACGCCCAGACTTCCCTATCCACACACACTTCCTCCAGCTCAATGTTGTGTCATGTTTTAATTATAAAGTTGTGTTTTGTCATGTCAACAAGCTAATCCTTTCTTGTGCTACTAAATTACTACTCTAAGCAAATTGATATTGGGATGATACTTGGTAAAGAAAGCCCTGATGTTCCCTTTGCTCTCCTCCAGGTGGGTCGTGGGACCGGCAGAACGGGGGAGCACCTGTTGGGGGTCTTCTCCTCGCCCCTGAGCCCCTCTCACCCCAGCGCCTCGGACCCCTCTGCTCTATGTGTCTATTCCCTGGAGGAGCTGGACCGCCACATCGACTCCACTCGCAACCTGTGCTACACCCAGGACGGGCGCACGGGCAGCGGGCTCGAGGTGGCCTACATCGAGTATGAGGTGAAGTCCAGCTGTGCCAACCTGCCCCTGGTGAGACACGAGCACGCCATACACACACACACACACAGCATAATTATTCTTTTTGGGCTCTTCGGATATAGTTTAAAGTAGCAATATGTAATATTTGCATGTCAAGTCATCATTAAATGGCCCCAATATTTCACAAGGCGTTATTAAATCATGCTATTTTTGAATACGGCCGAGATATTTGAATATCAAAATGAGTTCTACGACCCGTAAAAGTTGTTATTGTTTTGATTCTGATGTCCCACCCGCTGCTGTTGCGGCAATCAGGAAGTGAGTGATCCGGGTTGCCAGAATTCCTAATCTCACTGGTAAAATAACATGTGGCCACAGAACTAAAAAAGGTCTTGTTATGACTCTCAAATCATTAATGACAAAACAAGAAATAAAACGAGGTTTTATATCGGGAGGCCTTTGAAAAATTGAGACAGAGGATAAAAGTTTTTGGGTGATGCAAAAGTTGCTGCATTGAGACTGTTTTCCTTCGCAGCATTTATCGTGTGAGATGAAAGCCTAATGGTTAAGTCACTGAGCTTTCAAACCAGCGACCTGGGTTCGAGTCTGGGAAATGTCTATTTGTGTTAAATCACATTTTACATTTTATGACAGATTGCTCAGAATCAGGTAAAAGACAATAATTAAGACGTTTTATGCAGATTATTGTTTATTTGTAAAAAGAATAATTTGAGACCACATGTACATTAAAATAATGTTGTAAAATGTCTAAAAAATAGGGAATAAATACAATTGAAAGGTGATATCCTCTGGAGGAAACCCTGATGTTGATACGCTGAAGAAATATGTTCCAACATCCATTCTTCCCACTCCCATTTTGGACATCAATTGCTTTTTTATTTTGCATAATCTGTGTATAATTACATTGCTTTTATTTTGTTTTTCTCATTTCCAATGTCCAAATAAAAAAATAAAAAAAGATTCATTCAAAACATTCATTCAACATTAGCACGGCTCATGGCAATGTGAGAGACGGACAAACAACTGATAAAATAATTCCCTGTGTTTGCTGCTGGATTTGGTGTGTATCTGGCAACCTGAGTCAGGGAGAGTGGGAGAGGACTACAAAATATTGACTGTGACTGCAGTACCACTTTTGGCCAGATATTTACATACTGCTCCTTTAAGAAAATAAACTATATGTTGGTTTGTTTGTGTAAGAAAGACAGTTTAGACGACAAAATCTAATGCAGCAGAAATGTAAAGAAATAGTAGAGTAACATAAATTCACACAGTAACAATTGTTTTTTTAAAATATATTTTTTAATGTTTTTTGTTGCAGGGGGAGGAGGGAGAGGGTGGGGGGGGTGGACCCTTTTCACATTTGGACGCTGCACACACTGGTTCCTTCATAAGCACAGGTCGTCAGCTCTGGAGTCTTCTCTGTTTAAACCTTAGTTTAAACGTCCGGTCAATAAGTCTCGGTTTTGTGTCCAGTAGATCCTCTAGATGGCGCCAGAGATAAGTCAGCGAGAGACCGATTAGACACATTGCATTAAGGCTGCAATGTCCACATGTATTATTATTATCATAATAATACGGCAATTCATTCATACCATTCATGGTGGTACGGTCAGCTACTACTGTAGCCATAGCTGCCCTGGGACACCTTACTGAGGAGGCTGCCAACCTGAGTCGACCCCTCTAACCACCACCTTTCATTCACACACACATTCATTCATGTGGTAGTCAGCTACTACTGTAGCCATAGCTGCCCTGGGACACACTACGGAGGCTGCCAACCTGGATCGGCCCCTCTGACCACCACATACAATCACACCCATTCATGCACGTGGGTGAAGTGTCGTGCCAAAGGACACAACAACAGTTTGGCTTTTTCCAGCCGCAGTTGTCCCACTGTGGCGCCTGGTCTTACAGCAGTCTCCCATCACTGACATCACCCTTTAGCATCAGAGGCAGCGAGCACTAGCTGTTAGCCGTTAGCCTCATGACTGAACACACACAATACTCATGAGTATTAAATACTCGAAGCATGTGGAGGTTTAACTCCAGTTACTGCGACTCTGTGAGGGATGTGAGTCAGGATCCAATGTGCTGCTTGTTGTGAAAAGGGTCGAAGGAAGGTTTAGGGGGGGGGTAGTTCACTGGGAACATAGTCTTAGTGTTTGGGGACGGTAACCAGTGGCGGTTGGTTCGGTCTGGAGACGTGTGTCTTTTGGCGACTGCGTCTCCACTTGTTCTGAGGATAGTGTGGAGCGTGGTCCTCCTGAGGGTCCTGGATCTGCTGCTTGGAGGGGTTCTTCAGGTCATAATGAAGGCGTATGTTCTCGTCCAGGGCCTTTCTCAGTGACTTTACTGCCACTGCCTTTGACTCCTTACATTTGTTCAGCTCCTCCTCCATTTCTGCAAAAACAACGTTTTTCAGGACAAAGTTCTCTCTTCAAAGTTCTTTCCTTCAGCTCATAATTACCTTTCCTCAGATGCATCTCCTGGTCTTGCATCTTGGTCTTCAGCTCCTCAATGTAATGTTCAGCATCTAGAAGACAAGAGTTCATTACTACTACTGTGTTCATGTTTTCTTCTTCAACTTTTGAGAGATCTGTGTCCATACCTTTAATGACGGAGTCCTTCTGTCGGCAGTCCTCTTCAGAACGCCTCAGTGTCTGTTTTACAGACTGCAGTTCTATGGACAAGTCCTGTTTCTCCTTATTCAGAGTCACTTTTCGGGACTCCAGTGCTGTGGACAAGTCCTGTTTCTCCTTCTTCAGAATTGTAGAGACGTTGGTGACCTCTTTGTTCATTTCCAAATACTTTGCACAGGCCTCTTTCAGGTCCTTAACCTCGTCCTTTGCCGTCTGCAGCTCTGCAGTGGTTTGTTGCAGAGAGAGTTGGAGGCTGTTTTTCTCCTGGAGGGTGGTGTTGAGTTGTTGCTGGATCAAAGCAGTCAAATCCAAAATGTTCTTCTCCAGAGCAGATTTCTCCGTCTGCAGTTGTGTGACCTGCTCCGTCAGTTTTTGTGTTTTCGCCTCTTGAGCCTTACGTTTCATCATCATCTCCTCAATATCTGCGATAACAGAGATTTTCAGGACAAAGTTCTCTCTAAACTCTTCCATCTCTTTCTGAGACCTGAGCAGTTTGTCCTTCAGCTCATAAATACCTTTCCTCAGATGCATCTCCTGGTCCTGCATCTTGGTCTTCAGCTCCTCAATGTAATGCTCAGCATCTAGAAGACAAGAGTTCATTACTTATTATTTGTTCATGTTTTCTTCAACTTTTGAGAGATCTGTGTCCGTACCTGTGATGATGGACTCCTTCTGTTGCCTGTCCTCTTCAGAATGCTTCTCTAAAGTCCTCAGAGTCTGCTGTACCGACTGTAGTTCTGTGGACAAGGCTTGGTTCTTCTCCTTCAGGTTCGTGGAGAAGTCAGTGACCTCTTTGTTCATCTCCACAGACCTGGCATGAGCCTCTTTCAGGTCCTGCAGCTCTGCGGTGGTTTGTTGCAGATGGAGATGGAGGCTGGTTTTCTCCTGGAGGGTGGAGTCAAGTTGGTGCTGGATCAAATTGGTGGAATCCAAACAGTCCTTCTCCAGAGAAGACTTCTCCGTCTGCAGTTTTGTCACCTGCTCCTCCAGTCTCTGTGTTTCCTCTTCTTGAGCCTTGGCCAGGTTGCTCCTCTCCTCCTTGAGTCTCTTGACCTCAGCCAACCAAGCCTGGTTCGATTCCTCTGCAAGAAACCAAATTGTCCACCATGGCTTTGTAGATCTCTTTTTTACTCCTGTTTCTTCTAAGACACCACATCTTGGCAGTGTTGTATCGATTGCTTTGTTTTGTCAATCTGGGCTTTTATCCTCAAATTATCCTCGGGTTTGGTTAAGTCCCTGGTCTGTCTTACACACATAAACTTTTCAGAGCCATGGTTACGACGACATAATGTTGGTTGCTGTGGTGATAGAATGTTCCGCTGCGACAAACACCATGACGTCGCCATGTTCTGTTGCCATGGAAATGTCCATTTTAAGTTCTAGAAAAGTCTCATAGAAAATAATGAAATGCACATTTTGAAACAAATGGATGTATTTCACAGAATAAGAAATGTTCAGCAGAAGTATTTTTATTTTTGACGATACAAATTGTGGCCCATGTGCCAACTTCAAATCTCCAACGCAAAGTTAAACAATGTATTACAGTTTTTTTCTTTGATGAGGTGATCTTATTTTAAAGTGTGTCGTCCAAAAACTAAACTGAAAATAAAATACATTCATTATTGCATGAAGTGAAGCAGTTTCCATACCATAGACGCAGGACCATAGACGCAGGACCATAGACGCAGGACCATAGACGCAGGACCATAGACGCAGGACCATAGACGCAGGACCATAGACGCAAGACCATAGACCATAGACGCAGGACCATAGACGCAGGACCATAGAAGCAGATAGCAAATTAGCTTCTCCTCTTCTAAACTGGAGCCAAGAACGCCGGGACTTCTAGTGCTAAAATGCATCTAATCTGATGTCAAATGTTCTCCCGTTTATCTATTTTAAGTGTCGATACTTACTCAAATTAGTATCTAGTTTAATTTCTAATGTTAGTATAAATGTTAGTATAAAAACATGTGACTTGCATTCAGTGATTTTTTTTTTTTCCCCCAAGGGTTAGGGTGCATTTTTTACAATATTGTGTGAAAACGTCTCTAAACCCTAGAAGTAGTCAAGTTATCATGTGTTTTCACATAGTAATGGAACTGACCAGATGGCTATAGTCTCCGAGTGAGGGAAGAATGGAGCGTGAGATTGACAGGCGGATCGGTGCAGCGTGCGCAGTGATGCGGTCGCTGTATCGGACCGTTGTGGTAAAGAGGGAGCTGAGCCGAAAGGCGAAGCTCTCGATTTACCGGTCAATCTTCGTTCCCTCCCTCACCTATGGTCATGAGCTTTGGGTAATGACCGAAAGAACGAGATCGCGGATACAAGCGGTCGAAATGAGCTTCCTCCGCAGAGTGGCTGGGCGCTCCCTTAGAGATAGGGTGAGGAGCTCAGTCACACGGGAGGAGCTCGGAGTAGAGCCGCTGCTTCTTTACGTCGAGAGGAACCAGTTGAGGTGGCTCGGGCATCTGCTCCGGATGCCTCCTGGACGCCTCCCTGGGGAGGTGTTCCGGGCACGTCCCACTGGGAGGAGGCCCCGGGGAAGACCTAGGACACGCTGGAGGGACTATGTCTCCCAGCTGGCCTTGGAACGCCTTGGGGTCCCCCCGGACGAGCTGGAGGAAGTGTGTGTGGATAGGGAAGTCTGGCGTCTCTGCTTAGACTGCTGCCCCCGCGACCCGGCAACGGATAAAGCGGATGAAAATGGATGGATGGCTATAGTCTCCCAAAATGTATAAAAAACATTTTGGAGCAGGCGGATAAAAAGAGACCAATGGGATTTGATCAACCCTCTTCCTGTTTCTCGCGAGTGCACCGGAGTTATCGGATTTTCTAGAAAAGGCCAATTTCACATTCGCTGCCCTCTCTCCTTGTTGTGAGAAAATGCTGGATGTTTGGTTTGGTGGAGAGGGAGGGGAGGGGGGGTTGTGGTTTGGAGTTGGTGCTACGGCTAAGCTAACAACATCACTTACTGCACCTTTGAGTGGACTTGCATTTCCATAAACCTGGTATGGTCCTGTCTGCTCTTTTGGCTAAAATGTCATTAAGGTTTCATATAGTTATACTCAATATAGTTTCTTGGATTCATGTGATTTCGACCTATAGAACATTACGGCGGCACGGTGGCAGAGTGGATAGCACTCTCGCCTCTCAGCAAGAAGGTCCTGGTTCGAATCCCGGTCGGACCAGGGCCTTTCTGAGTGGAGTTTGCATGTTCTCCCTGTGTCTGCGTAGGTTTCCTCCGGGTACTCCGGTTTCCCCTACCACTAAAAATATGTACAATAGGTCTGGCATGCGCCTCCTGTACTGGCGACCCCGCTCCCATCTCTGTGTGGAGTGAGAGACAAATGCCCAAAATTAACAATTGTAAACCGCTTTGAGACTCAGATCTGCAGTGAAAAGGCGGTATATAAATAAAAACTTACTAAAAACTTACTAACTTACTACATATTCATTTATTTTAGTTAGACTTAAGGACTCATGCAATCCATAGCTAAGTATAAAGAAGGAAAAGATAAAAACTGTTAATTCAAGGTTTTAGCCATGTTATCATTTTTTTTTTCCCTTCTCAATCGCCCATTGTATTTCTGTGTAATCTTTATACTGAGTCATTGCTTTGTCAATCCCTGTTTTCTTGGTCATTGAAGCATTTAGTCTGTGATACACAATCCATTGGTCTATGAAGGAAAAGGCCCGTACTGTATATATTATCTTTTAAGTGGGTTAAAACGTGTGTATCAAAATTCATTCAAACTCTTGCCACACAATTATATACACACTTTACTATTCCCCCGAGCCTAGAGTGTGGTACAGTGTGAGTTCTGTTTGTGTGTTCATGTCCTAGTGAATTGCCATGCCCATATGAAGTCATAATATTCAAATTAGATGGGTAAATTTATTTTATTAATAATATGGACCATCCTTATAATTTCTCTAATTTACATAAAGCCTCTATCCCTTCTCACTTTTAACTTATTAAGAAATTAAGATGTCAAAATGGAGGCTCCTAAGAAAGGGTTAATGCATGTATACGTATCGATTACAATCTGTTATACACTCACAGCATATTATAATGACTATTGACCTCTCAAAACCAAGTATGTAATTTGCAAATTGTCAAATACCCTCCCACACACACACACACACACACACACACACACACATCATTTCTCTGTAAACACCACTCAAATATCGCCTTCTGAGTAAAGTTTGCGATTAACACGATTAGTTTGGCGTATATTGGACGAGCCTCTCCTTCCTTTTTGTGATTGCTCCAAAGCTTCGGGAATCCTCTTATGATTCACCATAAGAGGATTGTGCCATAGATTAAACTGGGCTCCAATGATGCCAGCCAACTCCCCTCCTTTGGTTTTTGCACAACAACCTCTGAAAATCCTGCTTTCCAGTAAGTCCCAAGTTTTAAGATAATTGGCCCTGAAGGACGAAGCAGAAATCAAATTGTGGAGAGCGCTCTGGTTTTTCAATTCTCTTAGTTTTGTTTTCCCAAAATCTTAATTCTGAGGCCTGTTATGTTACAATCTGCTTTTGCTCTTCTTGTCTACTTTGGTCCCGTCTCTCCTCATTTAGTCCCGGATTTCAAAGGAATTCCATGTCTTTCTTCTCGGCTCTCATTATAAATCTCCGCTGCTGATTTGGAGTTGGGTCATATTGATCTGTAATGATCTCATTTGAGTTCAGAGTCTAGTTGGAGGGTCCCACTAGGGTCCTTTTCTGTGTGGACTTAAACCCATCATTATAGAGCCCAGCGACCCAAAGATCACTCACTGTTTATTCTGCGGGAAAAGTCGTGGGTAAAAAGGCTTGTTCATGGGTTGTAGATCGTGAACTGCTCTGCATTTATGACCACTAAATTTCCTATGGCTGCGTATTTAAAAATGCATTAGGACACACAGCTTATAGATGATTCTAAATGGGTTGGCGTGCGAGGCTAATGCAGAGGGTAATAACAATCAACTGCAGTTTATGAGTGTAATATTGCTGTATAGTAAAGTACTTAGAGCAGTTTCAGTTTAAAAATGTTTATTTTAATTTAAAGAATGTGGTGTAAATAGTATTAAGTTAGTTAGTCTATTGAGATATATTGTCATCTTTTTTTGAGATTTTAACCATGTTACAACATTGTTCCCTCATCTAAAGCAGACCTGGACTTGTTTTTAGATCCATCCAGCCACTGAGTCTCTAATCTCAGTTTTAGAGAAAAGGAGCATTGTTTTCTTTCTTTTAAAAGGATGGCCATACATTGATTTTGGTCATTTCTAAAGGGTGTACAATCACACACTGTGTTTGCAGCTGGTCATTTTCAAATTTGAAAAAATAAAATCCATTCTAAAGCATGAAATAACAAGGTCTCATAGACGAGAGACGAGAGGGAGAGACGAGAGGGATGAGAGAGAGACGAGACGAGACGAGAGAGAGACGAGAGAGATGAGAGACGAGAGATTGACGAGACAGACCAGAGACGAGACAGAGAGGAGAGAGACGAGAGAGACAGAGAAAAGAGAGATATCACAGACATGAGACACATGATTAAATCACAAACAAACCAACCCCAGGAGTAACCCCCACTTTTGCCTCGTTCAGAACACTCTGAAGGCGTACCCCTGCGGCTCGGACCACACCCCCAGCCCCATGGCCAGCCGCTCCCCTCTGGAGGCCCGCGCCGCCTGGACCAGCCCCTCCTCACGTCTCACTGCGGTGGCCGTCAGTGTCAGAGAAGGACACAGCATCGCCTTCGTGGGAGACGCCCGCGGAGCACTGAGCAAGGTGAGCACTCTCCTAATGCAGAGCTGGGCGGGGCTGCTGTATGCTCCTGGGATGTCTCTGCTCTGGGATTCAAGGAGACGAGAGAGAGAGACGAGAGAGAGACGAGAGAGAGAGAGACGGACGAGAGAGGGACAAGAGAGAGACGAGATGACACAGTAGAACAATAAAATATGTACATTATGATGTAAGGCAAGGCAAGGCAAGGCAAGTTTATTTATATAGCACAATTCATACACAAGGCAACTCAAAGTGCTGAACAAGATAGCATTAAAATCATAAATAATCACAGAACATTAAAACGAAAGATAAAAATATAAAATCCCTCAGTTGTATGCACAGCTAAACAGCACCGTTTTTAACCTGGTTTTAAACATTGTCAGAGAGGAGGCCTGTCTCACATCTTCAGGAAGATTGTACAGTATATAGAGTATTTGTGATATATATATGATTTTGTTATATATATATATAATCGAAGTAGTTACAGTAAGTAAGTATTCGAACCTTTCAACATTTCGCCACATTTCAGGCTTCAAACCCTAACCCAAGATATAAAATAAATTTTTTTTTTCATGAATCAACAAGTGGGACACAATCGTGAAGTGAAACAAAATTTATTGGATAATTTAAACTTTTTTAACTAATAAAAAACTGAAAAGTGGGGCTTGCAATATTATTCGGCCCCTTTACTTTCAGTGCAGCAAACTCAGTCCAGAAGTTCAGTGAGGATCTTTGAATGATCCAATGTTGTCCTAAATGACTGATGATGATAAATAGAACGCACCTGATCCTAGAATCAAGTCTCCGTATAAATGCCCCTGCTCTTTGATAGTCTCTGGGTTCTGTTTAAAGCGCAGAGAGAACCATAAAGTAAGTAATGTTTATTTATATAACGCCTTTCACAGACCAAAGTCACAAAGCGGTTCACAATTGTTATTTTTTTGGGCATTTGTCCTCTCACTCGCAAGGTTGCCAGTACAGGAGGCGCATGCCAGAACTATTGGACATGTTTTTAGTGGTAGGGGAAACCGGAGTACCCGGAGGAAACCTACGCAGACACGGGGAGAACATGCAAACTCCACTCAGAAAGGCCCTGGTCCGACCAGGATTCAAACCCAGGACCTTCTTGCTGAGAGGCAAGAGTGCTATCCACTCAGCCACCGTGCCAAAGGAACACACCAGGCAGGTTCGAGATACTGTTTGTGGAGAAGTTTAAAGCCGGATTTGGATACAAAAAGATTTCCCAAGCTTTAAACATCTCAAGGAGCACTGTGCAAGCAATTATATTGAAATGGAAGGAGTATCAGACCACTGCAAATCTACCAAGACCCGGCCGTCCCTCCAAACTTTCATCTCAAACAAGGAGAAGACTGATCAGAGATGCAGCCAAGAGGCCCATGATCACTCTGGATGAACTGCAGATAACTACAGCTGAGGTGGGAGAGTCTGTCCATAGGACAACAATCAGTCGTGCACTGCACAAATCTGGCCTTTATGGAAGAGTGGCAAGAAGAAAGCCATTTCTCAAAGATATCCATAAAAAGTCTCGTTTAAAGTCACCTGGGAGACACACCAAACATGTGGAAGAAGGTGCTCTGGTCAGATGAAACCAAAATCTTTAGTAGTAGTAGTAATCTTTATTTATATACCGCCTTTTCACTGCAGATCTGAGTCTCAAAGCGGTTTACAATTGTTAATTTTGGGCATTTGTCTCTCACTCCACACAGAGATGGGAGGGGCCAGTACAGGCCTGGCCTGTTGGGCATATTTTTAGTGGTAGGGGAAACCGGAGTACCCGGAGGAAACCTACGCAGACACGGGGAGAACATGCAAACTCTACTCAGAAAGGCCCTGGTCCGACCGGGATTCGAACCCAGGACCTTCTTGCTGAGAGGCGAGAGTGCTATCCACTCTGCCACCGTGTGGCCAAAAAAATCAAACTTTTTGGCCACAATGCAAAACGATATGTTTGGCGTAAAAGCAACACAGCTCATCACCCTGAACACACCATCCCCACTGTCAAACATGGTGGTGGCAGCATCATGGTTTGGGCCTGCTTTTCTTCAGCAGGGACAGGGAAGATGGCTAAAATTGATGGGAAGATGGATGGAGCCAAATACAGGACCATTCTGGAAGAAAACCTGTTGGAGTCTGCAAAAGACCTGAGACTGGGACAGAGATGTATCTTCCAACAGGACAATGATCCAAAACATAAAGCCAAATCTACAATGGAATGGTTCACAAATAGACGTATCCAGGTGTTAGAATGGCCAAGTCAAAGTCCAGACCTGAATCCAATCGAGAATCTGTGGAAAGAGCTGAAGACTGCTGTTCACAAACGCTCTCCCTTCAACCTCACTGAGCTCGAGCTGTTTTGCAAAGAAGAATGGGCAAGAATTCCAGTCTCTCGATGAGCAAAACTGATAGAGACATACCCCAAGCGACTTGCAGCTGTAATTGCAGCAAAAGGTGGCGCTACAAAGTATTAGCGCAAGGGGGCCGAATAATATTGCACGCCCCACTTTTCAGTTTTGAATTTGTTAAAAAAGTTTAAATTATCCAATAAATTTCGTTCCACTTCACGATTGTGTCCCACTTGTTGTTGATTCTTGACAAAAAATTTAATTTTTATATCTTTATGTTTGAAGCCTGAAATGTGGCGAAATGTTGAAAGGTTCAAGGGGCCGAATACTTTCGCACTGTATATGAACTTCATCCGTCCTGTGTCAAATTTGCATATTTTTTTTCATTCTAGTTTAGACTACATTGTTTTGTTTACTTTTTACTTCATATTAAATATTAAAAAGGCAAAAATACAAAAACACACAGCAGTGATAAGAAACATATACAACTAAGAGTCGAAACTACGGGTTTTAATCGGGAGCTCTCCCTGCTTTAAATACTGTCCCAGGCCGGTGAAGGGATTATTATGGATTATTGCCGCATTTAATATTTCCCAAAAATAAAATAAAACCTCACATGCCTGGCCTGTGCTACAGAAAACCTTTTTTGGTTCTACAGCTCTGTGGCTTTAGCAGCAGATTCTTGTCATTCCACCGTTGGAGTGTTCCCGCTTACACAAGCACGTTTTTGATTTGATCTTTGAAAAGATGTGTGTCGGATCTGTGAAGATTTGAGGTTAAGATTCAGATGTGAAGAGTTACCCTCAGGTCCTGACGTATTCTGTGATGTGGGTTTAGGTGGGTAAACGTCCGGACGATAAATCAAGTACCATTGCTTCAAAATAGTTTCACACTAGAAGTAGTAGGTAGTGAGACAGTGAGATAAAAAGAGATTTATGAAAAGTTGGAATCATTCAGTTTTCTCCAGATGCAGCTTTTGTCTCCTGAAGTCCATGTGTCAAATGAACTACCCTGGACGCCTCTGGGTATGTTTCAATCAAAGGCGTAATCTGTCCTGTTTAGCTATGCATGTGCTATTATTACTTACTGATCTGCTTATTCTTCTACTTTTGCGCCTGTGTATGTTTTTATGCTTGTTCAGATAGACAGATAGATACTTTATTGATCCCTGTGGGATAAATTCAGGTGTCCAGCAGCAGAAGACTCATCCAAGTTTGTTGTACAGTCTGACAGCCGAAGGAACAAAGGATTTCTTGAAACCGTCCGTTAGGCAGAGCAGTGATAGGATCCTGTTTCGTCGATTACTCCCCTGACCTTGGCCTGAGTTGACCAGTCCAGTCTGTGGTCCAGTCTGTAGTCTGTGGTCCAGTCTGTGGTCCAGTCTGTAGTCCAGTCTGTGGTCCAGTCTGTGGTCCAGTCTGTGGTCCAGTCTGTGGTCCAGTCTGTGGTCCAGTCTATGGTCCAGTCTATGGTCCAGTCTGTGGTCCAGTCTGTGGTCCAGGTGGACTCCAAGGTATTTGTAGGACTGAACCCCTTCGATGTCCTGTCCATTTACTGTGACCGGTCGATGGGAAGGGCTCCTGTGAAAGTTGATGATCGTCTCCTTGGTCTTGGACGCTTTGAGGATCAGTCCATTTCTCTCACTCCAGTCTGAGAAGGCAGCCACCACCTCCCTGTACTCTGCTTCATCCCCCCCCTTCACACATGCCACAACAGCGGTATCATCCAAGTATTTTTGTACATGTTTGAGTTATTGATGAAGTTAATTGTCAGAATCGACCTTTACTTGCAGATTATCTTTGCTCATATGTCAGTGATAATTGTAGTGTTAATAAAGCATAATGTATATGAATTTCTTTATTATTGGTCTGACTGTAACGTGTGTGTGGCACAACTAACCAACTGGTTCTTATGCATGGATAATAGTCCTTTTATAGTCTCTTCACTTCTTATGCTTGGCCACCCGACCCTCTCAATGAGGGCCCCAGTCTCTTGTGTGTGATGTGTGAATGGGACATGGTTGTGTTGTAGATCAAAGCTGAACTCCATGGAGTTGTCTGCACTGAGCTGTTGTGACTGGATTATTGTATCACAGCAGGACACATTCCACTGCTTCCACCAAGTTCACACTGAGCTGAGAGCAAGAGACCTGCTTTAGTTAACGCAGAGTTCATAAGAAAAGGCACGCCCCCTTTGGACAATTCCCATTAGAACATTTCTTGAAAAGAGAAGGGAATTTAGCCAGAACATTAGCAATCTCGCTCGGTAATCTTTATCTATATAGCTCCTTTCACAGACCACAGTCACAAAACACTTTACAGTCGTTGTGGGCATTTATCTCTCGCTCCACACAGAGATGGGAGCGGGTCTTCAGGTTGAACTGGACTGGAGTCTGGTGTGAAAACCTGCATCCACACCAGTCCTCTATGGAACAATAATCACAGCATTGATCAAGCTAGATGTATGTATCTATACATAGGTTTAACTGGAATGCACAGTGCTCTATACTTCCTTATTATTATGTCAAATTTTATACTTATTTAGTATGTTAAAGATAGACATTTTGTACTTGTTTCTTTGATGCTAGAGTTAGAGATTTTGGGACAAAGACAGGATCTCCTAATCTTAATTGTCAGCTGCGATTTACCCTTGGGGAGTAAATATTATACCAGGGTACATTCTCAAATGTATATGAATACTTCAATGGTGCTATTTCATGGTATATATCTCTAACCTTTGGCACCATCAAGCAGCTTTCTTATTCCTCTGATCATTTCGTGCTGTGCTCTAATCTCAACTCAAAGGTGAATGGGTTTTACTGTATGCTTTAAGGTGCATTTAATATCCCTATTCTTTCTGGAAACATTTGCCTAATTGTTTTTGTTAGCTCCCTTACATTACCGGGCTGTTTCCCCCACTTATTACCCATTAAGTGCCTTCAGTTAATGGCAGTATCGTACACACCGTGAGGAGCGCGGAGGCTCGAGAACCTCTGCTGATCTTGTTAACTGGACGTAACACGAGCCGGGGAAACCACTCAGGGCAGAGGTGTCTTCCTGTCGGCCATATTAGATTTACCAGTGCAGTAATCTCATTCACATCCACTTCTAGCACAACCCCGCACTAGCATGATTGCATTTAGGCTGGCAAAGAAGAAGGGTTTTTAGTTTTACATCATTTTTTTCAGCTGAATGTAACAAATCTCGGTTGGATATAAAACTGTTGGTATTGATTTCATTCACATTTATATATATATTTCTTTTCTAGGTGTATCTGGGACAGAATGGGGAGGTGGAAGTCTACGCCAGTACAGTCATTCAAGCCAATTCTGCCATCAGCGGTGACCTCCTGCTGGACCACAGTGGAGCACACGTCTACATCATGACTCAGAATGCTGTAAGTATGTTGATTCACCAAAGTATATTTAAGGCTACTCTTCTTAACCGCTTCTGTGTGTACCACTTCTGCAAATTGGTGCGCTGCTTTCGACTACAGAAGTATTTCTGCAGATGTTGTTATGCTAATATGCTAATATATAACCACGTATTGCTTGCACTAGAATACTTAATACTGTCTCTTATTTTGCTAAAGGTAACATTTTAATACTTCATTATTATTATGTTCAAGATAGAGATTAGATTAGATGGATTATACTTGTTATTGATGCTAGAGTTAGAGATGTTGTTTTCTTTTGATTAGTATAGTTATTATGGGGCGACAGTAGCTCAGTTGGTAGAGCATTGGCCTTAAGGCCAGAAGGTCGTGGGTTCAATTCCCACTGCTGCACCTTCTCCACCGACTCCCACTGATGACTGCTGTCGTTGTGTCCTTGGGCAAGACACTTAACCCCACTTTGCCCAAAGCCCCCACTGAAAGATCAAGGCTATGCTCACAGTCAGAGAGCAGCCGTCCTCCTGTGGACTCACCACCTGCAGAGGGTCAGTGAGGGGCTGGTGCTATGTGACTTGGGTGGCATCTCTGACTGCCACCCCCCTGACCCAGAAATGGATTAAAGGGTAGAGGATGGATGGATGGAAGTTATTATTCATGTAGCTTGTGCTGTGTGCTCCTCTTTTCTACTGTTCTGTAACTTGTGATGCAACACTGGAATTTTCTCGCTGTGGCAATCTCTTTTGCAAATGTGGAGCATGGTTAGGTTATAATGTCATGTAATTGGTTGATTTGAGCACTTAGATTAATCACATGTTTCCAGGGTAGGTTAATATATCAATCACTTGGTGGTGAGAACTGGCAAGGCAAGGCAAGTTTATTTGTATAGCACAATTCATACACAAGGCAATTCAAAGTGCTGAACAAAACAAGAAAGCATTAAAATCATAAATAATCGCAGAACATTAAAACGAAAGATTAAAATATAAAATCCCTCAGTTGTATGCACAGCTAAACAGAACTGTCTTTAACCTGGTTTTCAACATTGTCAGAGAGGAGGCCTGTCTCACATCTTCAGGAAGACTGTTCCAGATTTTAGCAGCATGAATCTGAAAAGCAGCCTCCCCATGTTTAGTTCTGACTCTGGGCACTAACAGGAGTCCAGTCCCTGTGCTCCTCAGAGTCCCAGCAGGAGTCCAGTCCCTGTGCTCCTCAGAGTCCCAGCAGAAGTCCAGTCCCTGTGCTCCTCAGAGTCCGGGCTGGTTCATATGGGACTAACATGTCACTAATATATTTTGGTGCGAGGCCATGGAGAGACTTGTACACAAGCAGAGCTGTTTTAAAGTCTATTCTCTGAGCCACAGGAAGCCAGTGCAGAGACCTGAGGACCGGACTAATATGGTCGTACTTCCTGGTTCTAGTCAGGACTCGAGCTGCTGCATTTTGAATGTACTGCAGCTGTTTTACAGCCTGTTTGGACAGACCTGTGAGCAGGCCATTGCAGTAGTCTAACCTACTGGAGACAAATGCATGGATAAGAATCTCCAAGTCTGCTTTAGACACTATGTTTTTGATCCTGTCAATGTTTTTTAGATGGTATACTGGTATACTTATAGGTTTTGTTAGAAGCATTCTGGACTGACCCCAGGGCGAATAGCTGTACTTGTTACAGTTAATGGAGTAAATACAAATAAAAACAAACATTTCCCATTATTTTGAACGTCTCACAAGGAACTGGGAATGGAAAGGGTATGGAACAACTGCAAATCTCCCAAGACTCTGCTGTCTTCCCAAACTCACAGCCTGAACAAGGACTACACTGATCACTGTTTAATCAAGAAAATAATCTTAAAAAGCTAGTAATAGGAAACAATGTTGTGTATACGCTCTTGTCCATCCATGCAGTCAATGGAAAAATATTCTTTCATTTTTATCCCTTTATTAATCCATTTCTGGGTCAGGGCCGTGGCAATCAGAGCTGCACCCAATTCACAAAGCACCAGTCCCTCGCTTCAGGCCTAGAGGGGCTAAGTGTCTTGCCCAGAGACACACCGACATCAGTGGGAGCAGACGATATGGGTCGTGGGGGGATCGAACCTATGACTATTAAGTCCAATTACCAATGTTCTACCAACTGAGCCACTTTCCAAAAAAAATCTGACATATGCAAATCTCCTAAATGATTAATTCAATTTCAATACACTGCCAGTTTCACACGGATGATTAATGATGTTAGCTTACTCTCATTTAGACCTTTAATTGATTGGCCAACACCCATTTACTCTATTGTTAATCAAACAATACAAGATGTTCTAAATCAATAAGTCTCTTTAAGGTCCCGTTTGAGTGAGTGTTACCTACTGCGCCGTGAACAGATGCCTGAACAACCATAGCCTTTTCAAGGTGTAAACACATTCACTTTGTCTCCAGATGTCTCCATAGAACCACACGGAACACAGCCCGTCATTCAACTTCCAGCAATTTATCGTTTGTCAGACGTTTTTCAGCTTTTGACACTTCCTCAAGCTGTGTTTCGAACCAAACAAGAGCGGCGCATTTGCCAAAGGAAGCCGAGAGGGGCCAGCTGGCTGTAGGGGTCAGAGTTGAAGACCCCCGCCGGCCCACGACAACAGTCAGAATGAGGGAGCGGGTCAGACACAACAATGGAACTGATTGGAAAAAGTGGTCGGTTTTGTTTGCGGCACACTCCCTACAGCGGCTCAGTGTGCGTAGGGTAGAGCTGATAAATGATTATGTGGAATTATGGGAGTTTGAGTCCAGGGATTGAATGGTGTTGACGGCTTATTCCCAATGTTCATCTCTTGCTTTGAGTTTGACTAATGATCCTTATCTAAAGCCATGTAATGCTTCTATATACATCACCTCTTCAGCAGTTTAGATTGGCTTGTTTTAGAGCAGCAGCTGCGGTGAGTGAGGGCGACGGCCATTATGAGTTATGAGTGGATCAGTTTATGACTTTTTTCTCTTTTTGCCTACAGTTCATTTGTTCATTGGTAAAAAGACAGAATTATGTTTCCTCTGATACCATTGATTTTAGGTGAATCAGCGAGACCAGAGGGAGAGACCAGAGGGAGAGACCAGAGGGAGAGACCAGAGGGAGAGACCAGAGAGAGAGACCAGAGAGAGAGACCAGAGAGAGAGACCAGAGAGAGAGACCAGAGAGAGAGGCCAGAGGGAGAGGCCAGAGGGAGAGGCCAGAGGGAGAGGCCAGAGGGAGAGGCCAGAGGGAGAGGCCAGAGGGAGAGGCCAGAGGGAGAGGCCAGAGGGAGAGGCCAGAGGGAGAGGCCAGAGGGAGAGGCCAGAGGGAGAGGCCAGAGGGAGAGGCCAGAGGGAGAGGCCAGAGGGAGAGAGGCCAGAGGGAGAGAGGCCAGAGGGAGAGAGGCCAGAGGGAGAGAGGCCAGAGGGAGAGAGGCCAGAGGGAGAGAGGCCAGAGGGAGAGAGGCCAGAGGGAGAGAGGCCAGAGGGAGAGAGGCCAGAGGGAGAGAGGCCAGAGGGAGAGAGGCCAGAGGCCAGAGAGAGGCCAGAGAGAGAGAGAGAGAGAGGCCAGAGGGAGAGAGGCCAGAGAGAGGCCAGAGGGAGAGAGGCCAGAGAGAGAGAGGCCAGAGAGAGAGAGGCCAGAGAGAGAGAGGCCAGAGAGAGAGAGAGGCCAGAGAGAGAGAGAGAGAGGCCAGAGGGAGAGAGGCCAGAGGGAGAGAGGCCAGAGGGAGAGAGGCCAGAGGCCAGAGAGAGAGAGGCCAGAGAGAGAGAGAGGCCAGAGAGAGAGAGGCCAGAGAGAGAGAGACCGACTAGAGAATATGTGTTTTATGTTTGCCTGGCCACCGAGCCCACACACTTAGCCAGTTCTTTACAAAAATTAAGAATGTGGAGAATTATAATTGTTTATGAAATATATCCTGTTTGTAAATGTGGAAGAAAGAGGGCTGATTTCACTGTTTCATTACAAGTGAAGATCATTTAAAGTGCTAACAGTTGGTGGAAAGAAGCTGTTAGCATAACGAGATGTCCTGCATGTCAGCGAACAATATCTTCTGCCAGAGGGAAGAAGCTGGAACATGGCATTTCCAGGGTGGCCAGAAGAGTCATTGATTATTCTAAGAGCTTGGTTTAATTAAAAGTCTGGATTCATAAAGAACCTCCAGAACAGAACGCTCACATCCATCACACTTATCTGTTTATGTTTATGAAATATGTGTTAAGGCAAATAAATTCAACTAACCTAATCCAACACGTGCGTTTTCTTCAGGTTGAGAAGCGGCCAGTGGCTGAATGTGGAGAACACACAGACTGTCAGTCCTGCCTGTCCACCAGAGACCCATACTGTGGCTGGTGCGTGCTGGAGGGCCGGTGAGTCGCCAACGCCATGCACTCTTTCCTCTCCGGTCTCCTTCTGGTCGCACACACATGTAACCGTGTCCCCGTGTGCCCCGTGTGGTCAGGTGTGGCCAGCGCGGTGAGTGTCAGCGTGGATCTGCGCACGGCCACTGGCTCTGGAGCTTCAACCAAACCCAACAGTGTCTCGGCATCCAGCAGCTCAGCCTCTACAACATCAGCCGAGGAGAAAAGACAGAGGTGAGGAAGGGATTTGGTTACAATCAATCAATCTATTTATGTCAAACCTGCACACATCTATTGAATTATATCTTAATGGTGTTAATAGCATGAATGTTAAAACGGAAGCAATATGTTTCAACAAAAATGAAAATCTATAGTAATCTTGCCATATTGAGCAAAGTAAACTATCTGTTAAACTAACTGAACAAGGCAGGCATGTATAGCACTGCGTCCAATATAGAAATGCAAACTACTGCGCACTTCATATATATTCCTGAAAGTATTTTGGACTTTAAACATAGCCTTTATTCTTCTATTCAAGCTAAGAGTGTGTAGCCTTTATATTATTTATAACTCTGTATTTTCAAAAGTTATCAGATTGTTCTCCTACTGTTTCATTTCATACATTTAGTATTTGCTTTGTGATGTCGAGTAATGTTTAACCCTGTCGTCTATGTAACATTGTTGATTCCCTTGGGCAGAAGAAACTTTCTGGTAATTCAATGCAAAACTCATTAACCAGAGATTGGAACTAGATAAATAAAGGTCTGGCATCAAGTAACCAAAGGACAGTAGAGTGATTCCAGATGCAATAAACTGGAAGAGAAAGTCACGTTCTATCTTCTTTCCTGTTGTATCCTAGTTTTTTTTTACCTAATTTGCGCCATGGATCTATACAATATCTGAATATTACTATCTTATAGCTGTCCCTCCCTTGAGCACAGGGGCCGCTCGTGGGACTGCAGACTAAAATCACACGGGCTACACAGACAATTGTCCCATAGAACTTAATGTAAACTAAACCAGCTCGACCTCAGCT